AAGTTCTCGAGTTCAACAATAACTCTCTTTCGACCTCGGGTATTAGGACCGGCATAAAGTCAGCCACAAAGTCTGCCAAAATTTGAGATTTAATGGCCGTCCGGGGCCTATATTCAATATCGTACCCGCTGATCTCCACGGCCCATTTGACCAACCGTCCCGAGAGCTCGGGTTTATGCATTACATTCCTCAATGGGTAAGTAGTCACAACACATATGGGGTGACATTGAAAATACGGTTTCAGCTTCCTAGAGGCGCTTAGCAAAGAGAGCACTAATTTCTCTAGGTGAGGGTATCTAGTTTCGGCCTCACCTAAAGTCCTGCTAACATAATAAATGGGAAATTACGTACCTTTCTCTTCTCGGACTAGGACTCCACTTACCGCTATCTTCGATACTGCCAGGTACAGGTATAGTCGCTTGTCTGTCTTCGGCGTGTGAAGCAGCGGTGGGCTCGACAGTTATCACTTGAGCTCCTCCAAGGCCTGTTGGCACTCCGGGGTCCACGAGAAGTTATTCTTCTTTCTCAATAGTAAGAAGAACCGGTGTCTCTTATCGGGAAACCTCGAGATGAATCGCCCCACGGCGGCTATGCGCCCGGTTAATCTTTGTATGGCCTTCACGTTGTCCACAATAGTGATATCTTCAATGGCTTTGATCTTATCAGGGTTTGTCTCGATTCCCCGGTTGGATACCATAAATCCGAGGAATTTACTGGATCCGACTCCAAATGCACACTTCTCTGGATTCAGCTTCATATTGTACTTCTTCAATATGCTGAAGGTTTCCTGCAAATGTTTCAAATGGTCCTCTGCTTGCAGGGACTTAAACAACATATCATCAATGTAAACCTCCATTGATTTTCTTATTTGTTCCTTGAACATCCGGTTTACTAGGCGTTAATAAGTGGCACCGGCATTTTTAGTCTGAATGGCATCACGTTATAACAGTAGGTGTCGTACTTAGTGATGAAGGGGTTTTTTATTTGATCGCTCGGGTTCATCTGTATTTGGTTGTACCCGGAATAAGCGTCGAGAAAACTGAGGATCTCGTGGCCGGCCGTTGTATCGATCATGCGATCGATGTTGGGCAGAAGGAAAGAGTCCTTGGGATATGCCTTATTCAAGTCTTTATAGTCTATACATATTATTAATTTATTCTCTTATTTAGGGACTACCACTACGTTTGCTAACCAATTCGGGTATTTAACCTCCCAAATGGACCCTATTTTAAGGAGTTTAGATACTTCATCCTTGATGAAAGCACGTTTGACCTCAAACTAGGTCTCCTCTTCTGCTTGACCGGGTGGAACTTCGGGTCTAGGCTTAGCTTGTGAGTGGTTATTTCCGGTGGGACCCCTGTCATATCAAGGTGGGACCAAGCGAAACAATCTTCGTTATCTATAAGAAATGGAATGAGTTTTTTCCTAAGCTAGGGGCTTAACCCCGTGCCCAGGTATACCTTTCGATCGGGCAAGTGTTCGATTAGTACGACTTGATCCAGTTCCTCAACCATTGATTTGGTAGCGTTGGAATCGTCGGGGGCTATGAAAGATCTGGGAACTCTATAATCGTCGTCCTCGTCTACCCCTTATTTCTCCGATTCTGTCGAGGTTGGTATCGATAATTGCTATTTGGCCTCGTCTTTGGCCATCAGAATCATCTTTGGATTCGGACTCAGCTGGTATCGATAATGTCGAGAGTGTGGATACCGGGATCACCTCATCGACCGCGAACATTTCCTTGGCGGCCGGTTGTTCCCCGTAAACTATTTTGATTCTTCCGGGTGTTGGGAATTTCAGCACCTGGTGCAGTGTCGAGGGTATTTCTCTCATTTGGTGAATCCATGGCCTCCCGAACAAAGCGTTGCATCTCATATCTCCTTCGATTACATAGAACTTGGCTTCCTGAATGGTTTCGGTGACACTCATCGGTAATGCTATCTCCCCTTTAGTGGTCTCACATGCCATGTTGAACCCGTTCAGGACTCGGACCGTAAGTACGATCTGATCTTGTAGGCCGAGTTATTCCACGACCCTCGATCTGATGATGTTGGTTGGGATGCCTTGACCAATTAACACACGCTTGAGATTTATTTATGAGTACCGACATTACCAGTGCATCATTGTGGGGCTGCACGATCCCCTCAGCGTCTTCGTCGTTGAAAGACAAGGTTTCTTCCGGTACGTAATCCTGAGTTCATTTTTTCCTTGTGATGGATACTTTGGTGCGCTTCAGCATCAACCCCTGGGGAATGTCAAACCCACCGATTATCATGTTAATGACGTACTGAGGTTCCTCCTGCTCAGTCTGTTTATTAGAATCTCTGTTCCTGAAGTGGTTCTTGGCCCGATCACTCAGGAACTCTAGGAGATGTCCGTTGTTGAACAACCAGGCCACCTTCTCTCTTAATTGTCGGCGGTCTTCTGTTCTGTGGCCATGAGTGCCATGATATTTTCATATTAGGTTAGGATCCCTTTGGGTTGGATCGGACTGTAGAGGTCGAGGCCATTCGGTATCTTTGATCCGTCGGATGGCAGATACGATAGCGGCGGCATTGACGTTGAAATTGTACTCTGATAATCTTGGCGCTTCTTTAGGCTCGGCGGGCCTGTCGAAGCTGTTTTTGCTCATGAGTCCTCGATTGTTTTGACCTCGGTCATTTCTCCTTTCATTTCTCATAGGGTTCCACCCAGACCCACTGCTTCTTCGGTCTCCATTGTACGGCTGATACTGATCCTTGTTTGATCTCGGTTCACGATCGCGTTTCTCTTAACTCTGTCGAAGGTTCTGACGGGATACACGGACCCGAAAGGGGCCCCAAGATAATCATCTTCGACCCTGATTTTTGATTGATACCGGTTATGGACATCGGTCCAACTGACAACCGGATATTCTACCAAGTTTTGTTTCAACTGCTATGAAACTATCGAGCTTATAATATTGAGTCCTTGGGTGAAAGCCTGAATGGCCCAATCATCTTCCATTTGAAACTAAGACACGAACTCTCTGAGCATCTTATTATCCTTTTGTTTTACTTTGAAAAGGTATGACTTCCTGGTCTCGACCTTGATAGCGCCGACGTGTGCTTTTAAGAAGGAATCTGCAAGCATAGCAAATGAGTCAATAGAATTAGGAGGTAAGTTGTGATACCATATCATAGCTCCCTTGGATAAAGTTTCCCCGAATACTTTTAACAGGACAGATTCGATCTCGTCATCTTCCAAGTCATTTCCTTTGATGGCGCATGTATAGGAGGTCACATGCTCATTTGGGTCGGTCGTTCCATTGTACTTAGGAATTTAGGGCATGCGAAACTTTTTCGGGATCGGCTTTGGCGCTGCATTCGGAGGAAAAGGTTTTTGATTAAACTTCTTGGAATCCAGGCCCTTCAATATCGGGGGTGCTCCTGGGATTTGGTCGACCTTGGAATTGTAGGTTTTCATCTTTTTGTTATATGCTTTGATTTTCTTCTCCCCCGATTCTATCTGTTTTGTCAATTCCTTGAGCATTTTTATGATCTTGAGGTTAGTCCCTGATTCATTTTCATTCGGTCTCTCTGTGATCAATTCATTTATGCGGGTGACTTCCCGGGATGGTCGAGTTTAATTCTGCTCGGCGCGCGGTTTTGGTTCTGTAACTGGGCTATCGCCGCCTGTTGAGCCTCCAACATTTCAAAGATCACCCGTAAATTGATCCTGTCCCCTCCAATGTCTTGTGTATTTCGGGCTGCTGATCGAGCTTCACTACGGACGCTATTCTCGGGGTCGGTAGACAGATTTGCGTTGATGGCCACATGCGAGTTGGCGTCAATCGGGTCAGCGACCGGAATTCCGATGGGATCAACAGGTGGTACCTCGCCACTAGGCACTATGTTGTTATTTTTGCCGTGATGACCGGACTCATCGTCAACATGTAGAAGTGCTGACTGGTAGTTTGACATTTTGAGCTTTAACCTAAAATTAGAGATACTCCAAAGAACAAATGTAAAGTAGTGTGTGTTATAGAAATTTGTATAAAATAGCCACTATTATCCTCAGCCCCACGGTGGGGCACCAATCTGTTTACCCTCAAAATCGGATAACAATTAAATTTATAAGTGGTTTTAAGGATACACAGATTTATTTGACACAAAGAAGTAAATAAATAATACAAATTAAATAAATAAGGATGAAGTAAGCTCAAACCATGCGAGTAAGACGATTTAAGTCTTATTGAAATACCTCCCCTCGATTCGGGCTCGTAACAACAAGCACTGACGAACGAAAGCAAAAGAACTAATAACATAAAAAATAATAGTATATTGCCTTGGAATGCGTGTTACAATGTGTCAAATGAATTATCAGAACCCTTTTATATAGTATGGGAGTCCTACTTTATGTATAATTCTATAAAAGGTAAAAGATCTCTTGATTCACTGATTGCCGGTTCCTTATTGATACGTGCCGAGATCCCCGCCGTAATATCCGGTCGGTCACAGATACTTCGTTCTCCTGTTGACTATGCCGACAACGTTTCTTCCAAGTCGTTCGAGGCTAGGACCAATTCCGGGACCATGGCTTCAATATTCTAGAAGATAGGCGTTCTGCCACCGTGTTCTAGCCCGATGAGACTTGGGGTCGATCTTCGATCCTTTATTGCCATGTCTTGAGCCTGGCTCACCATGTTGGAGGCTAGGATGCACCACGAGCTCGATTTCACCCGCATACAATATGTAAGATTATCATGTATAAAATTAAAAGTTTATGTTTACAATGCATATATTACGTGTCCAGTATTTAAACTGCATATATTATATTAGTTATGCAATACTATTTTATATCGAAATCATATAACGTATTGGTAATGCGACATTATTATTTTATTCTTATAAGAAAAACCAAACAAGCCCTTTGAGTAGTAGCTTCTCTAAGTTAAAAAAAGAGGTTGACTTGTTGCAATTTTGGCACGAGTTAGTTATTATGGTTAAAAAGCACCAACTCAGGGAGGCCGTTGTTCTTCTTCTTTTCATTATTTTTCCTTTTGGATAACAGAGCAACGTCTCCTATGGTTTTCTTACATTCTCCGCAAATTTTTCATATGGGTCTTCTGTTTTTTATCACCATTTTCGCCGCAAACTGTTGAATTAGCAGAGACTTCCGCTTCAATTGGTCCCAAGGTAACCAAATAAAATATTCCGATTCCACTCTCTCGTCTAAACTCTTGTTACAATGGATAATATATGCATCTTCTTCTGTTTCTGCGTATAGGGTATGAACATATTTCCCTGCATGTGATTCTCAATACACTTAAATTTATGGATAAAAATATAAAGGAAGCAGAGGATGAATATTGGTTTAATTTTATGAAAATTACCCTCTCTTCCTATTAATCAGAAGAGCCCCTCGCCGAAGCCCACAAAATTCCACCCCCTGGTTTAACGTGGGGGTGCAGAACATAATGAATAGTGAATACCATCCATTTTGGTGGAAGTCGGGGTGAACTAGAAATTTTAATCTAAGTATGAATATGATCAGTTTTTAAGAGATTGATATTGCCATTTGTAATAGGGATTATAGGCACTACTTTGAAGTTTGAATCTACAAGATTTTAAAAGATGATCGAATAATTAATCCCGATAAAAATAGTAATTGACTAATTAGTTGGTAAGGTGATTTTGTATCTTGAAATTGAGCAAATTTGGAGCCCCAGGCTTTAGTCTAGTGGTAAGAGTCAACGCATGATGTGTGGGTTAGACGCATGCCACCGGTTTGATCCCTGCCACAGACAAAAGCTTGGTATCTAAGTGAAGAAATATAGAGGGACGGGTTCATTATCCACCAAGTTTCGAACTATGAGCCACCGACCCTGGGTGATTTTTCAGTTTTAAAAAAGAAAAAATAAGTTGAGCAATTTTGGACAATGTAGGAGACAATGAATGACAGCTGCATTTTGAATTAGCGAAAGTCTCTTGAGCTGATTTGTTGTTTAGGGAAATCTGATAAGTTGATCAAAGCAAGTTATCTTGGTACATGCAATTCAAGGCTTCGGCCAAAGTTCTCAGCTAGAAACTGACTTCTTTTGCTTTCATTATCTATATCATGGCTTATTATGTATTTAATGGACTTATATTTGCACATTAGCGTCTATTAATGAGTTTTTTTTCCAATATTGGGCAAGCATCAAGTCTCATTTACTCACAGGATTTCCATACTTGTAGGGCGCTGTTGTAGTTCTTTCACTCGGGTTCAGTTGCCCACCGCCCCATGGGACAGTGCTGGACTAAGGTAATGTATGGAAAGAGGTCATTTAAATTTCATTATGATATTTGTTCGTCTGTTCTTCTTTGTTTTTCTATTTGCTTGATAACTTATTTCTAGTCCTCTGTTTGAATGGTTGTTATATGTGCTTCAGTCTCACCCTTCTCTGTTACTTCTTTTTTTTTTGTCACTGTCTCCACTATAATGGGAAATATATGTGTGTGTGTACCTTTAACAGTTGGCCAGGCTTTCAACTTTAGGTGACCAAAACATTATCATAATGTTTAAGGTGCAAACTTTAGCAAAATCTCCTTGTTATTGTAGTAGCCTTGATGTGCAAAATTACTCCGGTAGATTAGTCGAGGTGCGTGCAGGCTGACCCTAGCACTACCATTAGTTGAATTTAAAAAAAGAGTAGTACCAAGTGACATTTGGGATAGATTCGAAGATTCTCCGTGTTCCAGGAGGATACTTGCTGATCTTAAATGGGAGGCTCAAAGCTTAGTTGAACTACATTTGTGTGGAGCCAACAATTTGGTCACCAGATAAATTTATTCTCCTAAAGTGCTTATGACTGAAGCTTGTATTGGTCTGCCTTGACTTTTAAATACAATTAAGATATTGAATACTCTTCTGGTTTTTCGAGAATTTTATGCTAGGCTCTTTTATACATCCATGATCGATGATATCCGATTGGAAGAAGTACAAGCTCTTTGCTTTACAATTGTTTCACTTGCATTTACATTCCTAGGATATGAACATACATCTAGTGTAGGACAACAGAAGAATTTCGGGGAGTTGCCTTTTTAGATTTCCAGTGGTTTCGGAACATCCATCCCAGCTGTTCCTATTGGTGTTTCATTCCTTTTTTCTTCCTGAGGAGAGAGTTCTATGTTTGTGTTCAGTTGGCAAATTACTTTGCATTAATTGGAATCTCTTCAATTCTTTCTTAGAGTAATGCTCTCACCCTTCTTTCCCAATCTAGCGCTGCTTTTGTTTGTTTTATTCATGAGCAAGTTAAGATAACTATCTCTATGTTGATGTCGCAAAGTTAAATTTGTGATTATTGCAGGCATGCGGTCAAGAGAAGGAAGATGTCCCTCCCACTTTTGGGCTTGCTAGTGGAAACGTTTTCCTTGTGAAATCAATGGAGAAGTGGGAAGAAAAGATGTCTGAAGCCAGTGACAGTGGCAAGATCGTAAGTTTCTTGATCAATTTTGGCTTTATGTTCTTTTTTGTTTTTTCTTTTCTTACTTCATATCTAGATACATGCCATAGCAGCACAAAATCTTTGTTTTCAAATTTCAGTTAGCATTCTCGGTTTCATGATCCAGCATCATATTTCATCTGCATATTTTCTTTACACAAGTATAAATTCTACACAAAACCTGCAAATATGTCAAATCAAAATCACCCTTCTTTTTGTCCCTTTTACTGGTTAGTTGTGCCTTTCTGTTGTGAATGCCTGGTTAATCTTCAGAATATATTGCTCTCGTCGAATAACACTATTCTTTACTTCTATCTTCCAACAGATGGTGGTAAATTTCAGTGCGTCATGGTGTAACCCCTGTAGAACAGCAGCACCAGCCTATCATGAACTTGCTGATAAATACACTTCAATAATATTTCTAACTGTGGATGTCGATGAGTTAGCTGTAAGTGTCCAGTTCCTTCTAATCATTGTCTTTTATTTGGATGATCTCAGTTTATAGCATCCTTAGTTATGATAACTACTACAACTACTACAGTAGTTTTCATATTATAACTATTTAAAGGTATGGATTTGTTATATCCATCTCCTGCAAAACATGTTGGAAGAAACCATCTCCTCTAATTACAGACAAATATTGGCAAACTGTAAACTGTTGGTTATGGCTTATTGCAGGAGTTAAGTACTTCCTGGGACATAAAAGCTACTCCAACCTTCATTTTCTTTAGAGATGGACGGCAAGTGGACAAACTAGTAGGTGGCAACAAGCAAGAGCTACAAAAGAAGACAGCGAATATCGCCGAGTCTACAAGGTCCCTGGGTTGATTTACTGTTGCTTCGCTGCAGTAGGAAAAATATGAACACGAAAACGCTATTATAAGAATTCTGGTTTTGTCACTTTAATTTTGCGTTTTACTGCTCCAACAACATTTTTACATGTGTCTATGCATATTAAGCAAAGTACTGGGATATTTAAAGGAAGTAAAATTTGCAGCTTGGAAAGGGAACTCGTATGGGGCTACACCATAGTTTTGTTACCCCAAACGCGAGGAAGTAAATGGCAATACCAATACAGTTAGTCAGTTACCAAGAGAAACATATATGCTGTAGTTTACTTATCCTCAATCTGTAGTTTACTCTCCAGAATTTAAGAAATCTGAAATAAATGAGAACCTATTACTGCTGGGATTTCTTCTTCCGTATGGGCAGAGATCCATACAGAAACTACGTATCGTGGTTTTCAACACATACTCAAATCCAAGGTTATAGCGTGGAGGCGTGGAAGATCACTTGATGTTGCCCTCTTTGAAAGGTTATATCTCAGGAGAAGATAGAGGATTTGATGTTTTCGACAAAGCAAGCCAGTGGACAAAGGAACACAGGATGAGGGCAAGGATGTGACTTTCAGTAGGGGACGATGAAATAATAGGCTATGACTTCAACAATTCAATGCAGAACACACTTTATTGTTGATGTCATTCATTTATATACATACCACCAAAGTAAATCAAAATATAGACACTTCTTACGCAATACTTCCTGGTGTTGCAGAAAGGTAGATGACAAACATAGAGTTCTAAATCCTGGTAGGGTTCTTGTACAAGCAAATATTTCCAACATAATTAAATATCCACTGCAATGTGAGCGCATTCCTTATTAGCAGGGGAATTAAAGAAACATCCAATGCGTTATAGGGCTAACAGAGACAGCTAGCGTGATGATTTTATTCTTCAACTGCAGGCCTCACATAACTGAAACCCTTGAATGGGTTCTCACCAGATTTTGGACTAGCAGCAGGGGAATCTAGCAAAGACATGCTGGTCCATTGCTCCTCAAAATTGGCAACACACAGCTTCCCTGATACTTGGGGACAGAAACTTGGTTGAATTTCCCGAGCATCTAACTTCTTCCAATTGATAGACCTGAACCATTTGTGACTCTTTATCTCATCACAACCTCTTAATCCACTCCCAAGGCGCTTGCTTGCCTCCTTGTGTAGCAGCTGTAGAAATACAAACACATAAGAATCGTCTAGTTTCCACTTTCCAAGTTCTGAATGCCAGTGACTATATGATAAATAGAATATAGCATGATGAATGGTATTATACATTAATTGATTCAGAACACTATCTAAGCAGTAGGAGCTTCCAAATTATCCCAAGTAAATCATGAAAGCACACTTTTAAACTCTTATTTCGAAGTTACTTTTCTTATGCTAGAAATATCTTGAAAGTAGCACTATTTTGATCAAAATGAACCCCTCTAGAATATTTTCACTTCCTATACTGCCCCTAATTAATTAACTTGCACATAAAGATATACTTCAGAGCATACTTTTGTTTGCAACTTATATCAATTTGAAAGAAAATATCAACATATAACATTTTTTCCTCTTATAATACCTCTTCATTTTTCTGGGAAAACAAACATGACGCAACATCTTAATATAATTAACAGCTTCATCCTTTTAGCATAAACAAACATATAATAACATAATTCTTATGTGACATGAAATCTGAAGTATTTAAAGGGACAATCAAGACATATAGTGTCTATTATCTTATAAAAAAGAAGTGTCTACCATTAATGATTATCGGTAAGAAGGTACACTTTCATATCGTAGAATGAAAATGTAGCTTACCCCTTTCAACAATGAATGTGCATCGCTAGACAAAAATGCTGCCAGCTTAATCTTATCCTTGATAATCTTCTGTTGAACTTTCTGTCGGTTCCCACCAACAAATGGAGGCTGAAAAAAGTCACATGAGGAAAAGATTAGATTAATGAAATACAACTTATACAAAGTTAAGCATAAAAAGAATGTCATATTAAGCTAGTAATATAGATTCTTAATTAAGTTGTAGAAGAAAATTTAATTAAAGCCAGACAAATGCATTAGTGTACAATAAAATAGACGACCGAGGTATAAAATATTTGCAAGGACGAGGTGCAAAAAGAGTAAAAAGTGGCATGATGATCTGGTATCCAGCAGATTTTACAGTTATATCTGGTCAACTCTAAACTTCAGATGATGAGTCTATAAGATTAGACCAATAATTTCCATATCTTTTAACATGCCGATTACTTAATCCTTATATTTAAAACTACTATTGCAATATTAAACAAAATAACAAACCTTTCCCGTTAGCATCTCGTACAATAGAACTCCCACGCTCCACCAGTCTGCAGCCTTGTCATGACCTTTACCAAGAACAATTTCAGGTGCCATATATTCAATTGTTCCACACAAAGAGTTGGATCTCGTGTTCTCATCAAATTGCTTAGCAAGGCCAAAATCAGTCAGTAACACCTGCCCCAAAAGTATTACATAAGGTCAATAGAGGACCGCCAAGAAGTTTTTCAAAATCCTTGTGAAACAAAGACCTCAAAGTTTCTTTCGTTTATCCACTACTAGAACTAAAACCTAGTTGATGGTCTTTCGCTGGAAACTAAAGAAAGTAATCAGAAACCATCAAAAAGCAGGGTGCAGTGTTAAATAAGGGAGATGAAAAAAGGGATATCTTACATGACCATCAGCATCCAAAAGGATATTTTCTGGTTTAAGATCCCGGTGCATTATGCCATTAGAATGGAGGTGAGAAACAGCTGAAACAATCTCAGCAGTGTAGATGCGCGCCAAATCCTCCCTGAAAAGAAGCCAGTTAGCTAGTTGCCTGAACCAGAGAATTCCTAGATTATTCTGAAAGGGTATTATACCTGAATAGCCCTTGCCTATGGAGTTGAAAGAAAAGGTGTCCCCCGTTAACAAAGTCAAGCACAAGGTATAGTCTGTGTTTGGTCTGCGTTAAGAGAAAATGCATAAAGATAAATAAATAATACTTAGAAGTGTTATATAGTGTAACCTAATCAGATATATATTAAGGAAACAAAGGATGGAGTTCACAGTCAAGAGCCAACTTTGAGGTTTTAACTTCCTCATCATAGCGGGCTGGAGTTGCATAAAATGTCTGCAACTCCAAACAGCTTCTATTATAAAGATCAATATACATAAACTTGTAGCAACATAATCACCTGGAAAGAGTATCTGAGCCGCACAACAAATGGATGATCTATTTTTGTCAATACATCCCTCTCTGTTTTCATGTATTCAGCATGATCTTTCTCCAAAATCTTATCCTTCCGCATAACCTTCATTGCAAGAATTTCAGAAGTCCCTATCTTCCTCACCTGATATACTTTTGCAAATGCACCTTGCCCAACAACTTTTAAGACTTCAAAATCATCAAGTCCCACAGACCTTGGGATACTAACATCAGCATGAACTTCAGATTTACCAGTAACAGCGGTCTCAAGAGTAGCTTCCTCAAGATGATCTTTGGTCTCTCCACTATCTCCCTCCACAAGCTCCAGCAAGTGCTCATTCTCACAGAGTGTGAGTTTGCTAAGCTTCAACAATTGACTGACATAGTTTGTTGGACCGACAAAGGAATGGGAGCGGCTATAAATTACAGCTGGTTCTTCATATATGAATCCATTTGTTTCTGACACTGCAACAGTCTCAGAGCTCAAAACTTGAGCTGGAGCTGGACCAAATATGTCGGCGAAATCCAAATCAACATCATCCAGTGATATGACATTGGGGTGTTGCAATGGGAGCAGCACGTGGTTGTGGATAGGCTTCCCAGTTGGTTGCGAAATTTGAGCGGAAACCATTTTTACGAAAAGTTACACAAGGAGGGAGGGAGTATAGCAGATCAACCCCGACTTCTGTACGGCTACAAGAGAACTATCCTTGAAGGTCCAAAAATGAAAATGGATGAAGGACACCTCACGATAGCCTTGAAAAGAAGGAAGTTCTCAAATGCAACAAGTGCTCCAAAATATCTGGGGAAGAGGCAGACTAGAATCCAGAAAAGGGAGCTGCTCTCGTTTCCCGCTTTACAGGAAAGAGTGGCTGCAGCAGTGCTTCTCGAATTCATGAAGAACATGCAAACTAGGAGGTGTTTGTTGCGCCTAAGACCCTGGAAGATCAAAGAAAATTGTCAGCGTCTCTACAGAACCAGAATAACATTGACTAGAAACCTAACTTTTAAAAAAACTTCACTGAACGTTAAAACAAAGAAGAACAAGATAGGAAGGGAATCAAAGGAAAGTAGAGTCAATAAGTAGTAGACAGAGAACTTTCTTTCACTTGTTCAGAGCAGGCAGGACAAGAGACAAATCTTCAATCTTCATAAGTAAAAAGGGGAAAAGATAAAAAACTAAAGTTTCCCTTGCATCTGGATAAAATAATAGAGCTAGCAATTATTCAGATTCAGTTAAATGCAATTCCACTTTTTTTAAAAGCAGAACATCTAAAATCTGTATCAAGTGCAAAAGAACACATTAAAATCTCTTACAATCTTATGTACACAAAACGAATCCCTCAACTGGGAGTTGATATTCCAACACTCAGGGGCGGAACTCCAATGATCACACTTGGCCAGAAAATTAGATTGTGGATACAAGTTCAAAGCTATTCATATATATTAAATCTTGATCTATCCTTGAATACCCTTTGCAAAATTCCCGATTTTGCCACTGAACCCATAGGCAAAACTATCTTAACAGTTAATCAGTACCTATGCTGATAGCTCAATATGAACAACCAAAAAGTTTAAACGGTATCAATTGATTAACTGATCTGATCACGGTACACACTTTACCACGCAATAGAAACCCTTAAACATATAAAAATCTCACCCTAGAGCTCCTGATTCCCAATCTGAATCAGGATTTCTAAATAGAAATAGCGTTGCATAATGCACCAAAGTTCAAATTTTAGCTTAAGGAAACAAAAGAAAAAACATAAATATCGTAATAGATGATCAAATCAATTCCACCAAAATTTCCAATTTCAACAAATAAATCACTAGTTCAGTACAAAACAAGAAATTAATGGCCGGAATACAGCAAAATACAAAAAAACTGATAAAACAGTTTAAATAACAATTAAAAGTCCAACTCGGCGAAGCCCTAACAGTACTAACTTAACATGCAATGAAAAAAGGAAGTAAAAATTAATCATATCATATGATTCATTCAGAAAAGGAAGGAAATTTACCTGAATGAAATTGCGGAAGGAATGGAAAGAGAGAGAATATATATGATGAAGGTGGCGTGGCCGCTTATAACCAACTTTGAACTGTAATTTAACTTGGGTTTAAAATGCGGTTCTGGATTACGTGGCACGTTTTGAGTGGTTTCTTCGAATTTGAATTCGAGTCAAGACAGGCTTGCTTCTAAAAAACCCTTTTCTTCTTTTCGTGTTTGCCAACTCAACAATGGATTACTTCTTCACGGAATCTTAAAGAGTTATTATATTTACTTTAATACCCTCGCGTCGCGTCTAGTGGAGAATGGAGATTATTCGTTATATTCGTAGTTGGATTTGTGGCATATTCCACTTCCCGGAAAGTATAACCCTTTTCTTATGTGAGTACCAAAAGAAAGAATAACTCTTTTAGCGACTTCTCTATTTTCTACTTTAAATAAATTGAAGTTTGATGGCTTTTGGACTATAAACTTGCTTTGGTTTTGTGTGTGTTTGTTTGTTTGTTTTTTCTTTTTCTAAAGCTTGGATAAGATTTTGGATTTCAACATCAGGGTCATCCCAACAAGATTGGTAGCCTAAAGCTCAATTTCTGAGAGAGGCCCAAGTAAGAATATCAAAAATAAATTTTTAACAAAAAAGTATAAAATAAAGGTAGAATAATAAAATCGGTTCAAGAATTTGATAAGTTGATATACAACAACATACCCGGTGAAAACTCACAAAGTGGGGTCTGGGGAGCTAGAGTGTACGCAGACCTTAAATCTACCTTGGGAGGTAGAGAGATTGTTTCCGAAAAACCCTCGGCTCAAGAGAAAGCATGGCAAAAAAAAAGGTAAGGTAAGGACAATCAATTATATTCAATGCAGTATGAAAATGAAAGTAACAAAAGCGAATAAGTCATGATAAAATAATCTAAAAAGGAGCAATAGCTATCACAGATAAATAAGATAATCGAAGTACAAGAAACAATAGATAGTAACAGAAATCAAAGAGTAAGAAATTATAGAGCAAGATAAGTTGATATAATGATATCGAAAACTGTTGTATTGCTTCAATATAACGATTGCTTGTTGTAATGCTTGATATTTTGAAGAAGACAACTTGTAAGCCGCGGGAAGTTGCCGATTGAGAGACTTTTCAAGATTGAGAGACTTTTCAATATTGAGAATAAGAATAGTAAAAGAGAATGAAAAAGATAAATATAAAATAATAATGTGGGCCCATATTAGTTGTTAGGATATAAATGAGGCAAAAAAATAGCCACACTACCCATGCAAGAAAATAATTTATTAAAAATTATTCCATTCTCTAATTATTACAACGATCATCACATTAAAGTTATTGTACTTTCGTTGCAAAAATTCTCTTTAAATTTAAATGTACACATTTTTTTTTTATAGTAATACATATACAATAATCTTTAAGAAAAAATGAGGCCCCCAAAAAGTTGGGGCCCCAAGTGATTGCTTGACCTTATAGTCGAGCCACCCATGTTCAACATGAAATTTATTGTTTTAGTGGAAACAAAAAGAAGGAATTTTCTTTTCCTTTTTCACTAGTTGTCATACCCGCGCGATGCACGGTCAATATTAATTAAATTAAATTATGATTGGGCTTGTTTGAACATATTAGATCGTATTGCTTTAATAAATTTCAATTGTCATCTTATTTGTCAATACGATATACCCAGTAATAAAATCTCTATTAAATTAAAGGGGCTTATATAGTTATTGAATAACTTTTTTGCTCTATATTTTTATTTATTATATTATCCAATATTTAGTATTATTACATTATTAATAGAAATTTTATTAGCATATTACCTTGTTTAGTATTTTTGTTCATTCTCGTTATTTTTGTAATATAAGAGAAGATATATATTTTATTACTTTTGAAATATTTTTTTATTTAAAATTTTATGTTGTTGTTCTCAATAATATTATCTGAAATTTAATGAATAAAATCTCTATTAAATTAAATGGACTTATATAGACACTGAATAACTTTTTTCTTCTGTATTTTATTTTATTATATTATCCAATATATTAGTATTATTACAATGTTAATAATTTTTTTTATTAGTATATTCATTTGTTTAATATTTTTGTCTGCTACTTTCTTTTTGTAATATAATAGAAGATATATATATTTTATTACTCTTGAAATAATTTTTTATTTTAAGTTTTATTCTATTCTTCTCAATAATATTGTCTGGATTTTAATGAATAAAATATCTATTAAATTAAAGGGACTTATAATAACTTTTTTGTGATGTATTTTTCTTTATTATATCATCCAATGTTTAGTATAATTGCATTGTTAATAAAAAAATATTATTAGCATATTACTTTGTTTAATATTTTTGTCTACTAATTTATTTTTGTAATATAATATAATATTTTATTACTCTTGAAATAATTTTTATTTTAAATTTTATTCTATTGTTCTCAATAATATTATCTGAATTTTAATGAATAAAATCTCAATTAAATTAGAAGGACTTATATAGGTGTCGCGCCCCGTTTTCTCGCGAAAGCGGGTTTCGACGTGTGACAACTCTTTTAAATGGGTATTAAAAGAGAAGGGTCGCCACCTAATGATTTTGTGGTGCGTTAGGGCACCTATTTGTAAATAACTTTATTTGACTAGCCTGTATCACCAAAGATCGGGTAAGGGCTCAAATTACCTCAAAGGGAAGGTATTAGGCACTCTTCGAGGTCCACAGCTGTGGGTCCTGGCCGAACTTTAAGTTATGTGGATTATGAAATTAGGCTAGGTGATCAAATAAATAAAGAAAAATTTAGAAGTCGATGAGTCTTATTAGGACATACGTTAATCGGCATAAATCTTAATGACTACAAGGATACAACTACATTGATTTATGTTAAATGATTGAGTGTAAAATACATAAAGGGGGAGGAGGGGGATCCTAAGTTTTTTAGCCTAAAGGATCACCCCGTATAACATAAATAATACTTCGCAACTCCCTTAAGGTAGGGCTTGCTCATATTATTCAGCGGGCACAGACTATCATCTCCTGCTACCCAATTACTATGTGGAAGTTGTTTACTTAAAGGCTCTCTAATTCAATTCTAAATCGTACCCTATGCATGCACAACCCGTCCCATGCCTATGGTCCAGGGGGCTTTGGACCTCTATTAGGTGGTTCTAGACTCAGCTTAGCTTGCTCAAAATGATAAAAACTAGGCGGCATTCAAAATAGATAGGCCTTCACGTAAAGACAATTAAAGGCTCAAATTAGCTTCCACACATAAACAACCAATGCACGCGGACAGTTTAGGCCGTACATATTTTAGGGAATTAATACGCATTAGAGTTGTCAAATCCTATAGGCATAATTTCTAGGCGATTTTGATCTCCAGCATCACACAAACATCATTATTGTTTCTGAATAATGATTTCGTAGATTAAAGGTGTTAAAGAGCTCCTATAGGCATAATCTCTAAATTGTTTATGCAATGGGGCAGTAAAACTGTTGAAAGCTCAGAATTAATGACGTTTGATTTTATAAACATGCTTTCTAGACGAGTGATAATATCACATAGGCATGATTGACAATTGAACTTGATTTTATAATACTTCATCCCTATAGGCATGTCATCTAGGTGGGAAAGTATAATAAAAGTAACAGAAGTAGTCAATTGATTGATTAAGATCATATAGTCATGATGTCTAAAGGAGCGGTGTGCTAAGAGCAATAGAAGCAGTTGATTGGTTAATTAATTGAAACCTTATAGACATGGTATTTAGGTGGACATTAGCAAAACATGTGTTATTGTATCCTATAGGCATGCTATCTAGAAGCATCTAGTAGTACATATAGAAATTGAGCCAACATATTTTGACAAGTTAAGTGAAGTGTGTGCATGATTCCTATAAGCATGCTTTCTATTAGTGTACAACACACTAAGCTAATTAACATATAACGCATACTGAACGAAATAGCAAATAGAACACATAGACCCTATAGGCATGTTTTATACCTTTTTTATGCTAGCGTTAAAATACCCCAGCCTTTTTCACTAATCTCCTCCATCGTTTGTTTTCAAATTATTACATGACCAAAGATTTAAAAAAAAAAAGGAAAGGAAAGAAACAGACTTCGAATATTACATAACCAAGATGATTACATGCCCAACAAATAGGGTCGACTTAAGAAGAGTTAGCCCCAGCACTGCCTAGGCCTTCAGTAGACTCTTTCATTCGGATAGCAGGCCCGAATCCAAACACTTCCCAAAAACAGGAGAGTATGCACATTTGCACAGCCCAAAGCCACACATGGACCCATATCCAACCCAATATTGACCAATTTACCAAATAAATTAATAGACCATACATGGAAACCAACCAAATAGTTCTAAAGCAATACCTCATAGAGACAGGGTTGTATGATGTTTAGCAGGATTCATAAACACATTGGCATTTCAGAAGCAAAAGTGACATCATTGATTAAACAAAGAACAGGAAATCAGGAGAGTCAATAGTCTCGACTTAAAACATGGTAAATGCAACATAGGTTATATCATTAAGCAGTTCATAGCATGCTAAAGATAGACATAACACTATGAGAGTTAAGGAGACATGCCATTTTAGATTAACAAGGTGAACATACAAGGCACATACGAGGTGAACATGCTAATTTTTCCAGAATGAGTTCAGAATAGAGCATTGGCCTAAAAGGATTTTAAAACCTAGGAGTCTAAGTCATGAATGGTCAGACAGAGTCATATTCAGGAAATGATAATTACATACGACAAACAGGCAAGCAAGTAATCGATGAGAAGCCTAATCATGCTGAGTATAACACAAAGATCTCAAAGTCCAAAAGTGTCATGGCAGGAAGACATATTATCTTAAAGTTAAATAGAACAGGCAGACTCAGAACTTAAGTTAGTCGACTATGCATGATCATAGAACCTAAATGGATTAGGATTCAACTAGAAGCATAAGCAATACCA